TACCAAAAAAAAAAAAAAAAGAAAGAAAATGCTCTGTTAAGGTGCTCGTACTTGGAATGTGATGTTAATTGTTTTGTAAATTTTGATATTGAGAACTCACATTTTGTCTTGAGTTGTAAACTTTCAGAAACCCTAACCAGACTATGCTTTCTTTCATTTTTAAAGGTAGGTGACACTCTTAGGGGTTTATCCCAGAAGTACATTTTAAGGGTTTTTGGTAGGCTCGACACATTTGGTCCAGTCTCCTGTATTTTATTTGCGAATATAAGCTCTACTTTTTGTTGAAATTATTCCTAGAAAACTGGATTGGAAAGTAAACTTTGGAGACAGTCCCCTGTTCTTTAAACAGAGGCCTGAAGTACACGAGAAAGCTCGTAATTGACTTTTTGACACTAGATGGCGCCGATTAGCCATCCATGTGGCCAAGGGTGCCTTACTTTCTCCGTGAGTTGTAGCAGTTCCGTTTTTAGGCAGTTTAGAACAGGAAGAACAGAGCTGCGGAAAAAGCCTCAGTAACCTGTTGATGCCAACTTGGGCCACCTCCATCTCCCAGGGGTCTGCAGGCCCCCGATCCACAGGGCCAATTCTGGCGCCTTATAACCTCCCACAGTACTTGGGCTCTCCAGCCACTATAACCCCTGCTGTAAACCAAAGAAAGATGAAATACGTTTGATGTAAAATATAGCTGCATTCTAGGTGAGTTCTTATACTCTAATTGAACTCAATTTCATGGTACTAAATTATTTTAGTTCTTTATTCTGTACAAATGGAAATTTACTTGACTAACCTAAAATTTTGTAACTTACTAAAACCTACATTAAAAAAACCTGTATGACCTCAAAATGAAGTGCTTAAACCGAATATTTTGTATTTTTCTTCAGATCACTGTTTTCTGGAGAGAGTTGATTGATCCAAGACTGATTATTGAACCTCCAAGTAACACCTCCAGTACTGAGCTTATCAGAGCATGACCTCCACCCCGAGGCTTATAAATGTCTTGCTGTGAAAGTGACTGCAATGTGAGGTTTTTTATTTTTAAGAGGATTTAGAAGTTGTGTGTATTGTTTGTTATCTTCATTTTACTGTATAGGGAAAAAAATCTACCTCATCATTTAAAATTGGGTGTTGGTTTGTAGACCATTTTTTCCTTCAGATTAACTTCAGTTAACAAAATTTAAAACATAACATTTCCCCCAGGCATTGTTTTATCTTTGGTTTCTTTGTTTTTTTGACCATTGAAGTATTGGTCATCAGTTTGTAATACTAAGTACAAGAACAGGCTGCATATCTTGTCTCAGTAAATTTTATCAAGTAACATTTTTAAAAAATTAAAACATGTTGCTTCACCTAATTTTTTAACATTTGAGTTCCATTAAATGTGGAACATCTTATAAATTTCAAGTATTTTATACTTGCAGTTGCCAAGAATTAACAACCAGTTGGATTTGTTGCCAGCAATGAATTAAGGAATCCTTTCATGTTTTTCTCCACTTAAAAATTAAGGATTCTCAGGGACCTGTGTGGAGCAGTGAAAACAGTACCTTGTGTGTGTTGGGAGGAGAGCGGGTGGTGCACCCCGGGGAGAAGATTCGCCGTGCCCCCCGTGAGCAGGGAGTGGTTTATCTTGAGCCAAGAGCCTGGCTCAGTGTGCCGGAGTGAGGATTTGGAAGAGAAATTGCCTCTTCTGTTACTCAGAGACCAAAATGGCTAAATATATGATGTGAAAATTGCTTTAACAAAAGATCAGATCCCTCCTTCAGCTTTGCAGATCTCTAAATAAAGTCATATTGAACTTAATATCCATGCTGAGCCATCATGTTTAGTTGAGTATTGCAAACTGTTGACTTGGTGTTTTTTTTGTGTGTGTCCTGGGGATCGAACTGGGGACCTTGCGCTTTCGAGGCAGGTGGCGGAACTACTGAGCTAAATCCCTCCCCGGCTGTCTTGGTTTACAGTAATCCAAGAGGTTGTCATTTTTCCAAGCAAGTAGGTTTGCTGTGGCAGAAGAGTCTGACTTCACAGTCTGATCCAGTGGAGCGCATCAGATCGGGAGTCCTTGGCCGAATGAAGATGCCTTCCGATTTTAATTGACACAACATGGGTGTGGATCATAGTGTGCAGCTGTGGTGGGGATGTGGCTCCGTGGTAGGGGTTTTGCCCATTGTACATGTGGATCTCCCTGGGTTCGATCCACAGTGCTGCAAAAAGCAATGTGTAGGTATTGATTTAAATGCGAAGTACTCTCCAAAAAGAGATTAGGAGCGGGGTGTGCTGACACACACCTGTAATCCCTGCACTCTGGGGTTCTGAGCCAGGAGGGTTGTGAGTTTCAGCCCAGCCCAGGCAACTTAATGGGACCCTGTTTCAACATTAAAAATTATGAAAGGACTAGTGATCTAACTCAGTGCCAAGGCCTCGGTTCAGCCTCCAGTACTCCCACTCTCATACACCAACTAAGAAATGAGTTCGATCTTGGCAGAGAGTTTCTTTGGGCCATACTTTTCTTCCAGGGTTTGAAAAACAAATTCAGATAGTAGTCAAACTGGGTGTGCTAGCACATACCTATAACCTCAGCTGACCAGGAGGGTCATGAGTTTGAGGCCAACCTCAGATAGTAAGAGCCTGTCTCAAAAAATAAACAGCTTGGCAGGGTATGGTTGTGCACACCTGTAATCCCAGCACTTGGGAGGCTGTGGCAGGAGGATCGCTGAGAGTTCAAGGCCAATCTGGGCTACATAATGAGTTCAAGGGCAGCCTAAACTACATAGTAAAACCCTATCTCAAACAAAAAAACAAAGCAAAGATAGATTGCAAAGAAGTGTTGCCTTCAGGGTGTGTTTTCAGGTTACAGCAGTTTACGCAGAATCTTCGAAAAAGGTGATGAAATCAGTCTACAGTTCTTGACCAGCTTTGTTTTGTTTTGTTTTTTTACCGGGGATCAAACTCGGGACTTGGTACTTTTGAGGCAGGTGGTGGAACCACTGAGCTAAATCCCCGGGCGCAGCTTTGTTAAAAATAACCTCCTAATTGGGAAGGCAAGTGCATCTCACCCAGTGCCTTTCAGTTTGCTTGGTGAAACTTGTGTTTCATTTACATACATCAGGTGTTCTGATGCCCATGTAAGATGTACGTGTGTTTCTTGTTCGTTGAAGTCAGGGATTTCCTTTCAGAAGCACTAAGCAGTATTATATGCCCTGGAGTGAGAGGGGGTGAAAATGAAGGTACTGGCCTGAAGTCCACGGCAGGGCCCAGGCACAGCGTGCAGGCCCAGCATCCTAGCTGCTTGGAAGGTCGGGGCAGGAAGATCTCATGATCCAGCTTGGCAACTTAGCAACAGCCTATCTTAAACTTTAGGTGGTCGGAGGTATAGCTAAGTGATAGCAAGCTTGCCTAGCATGCGCACCGGGCGTGTTTCAACAATTTCCAGCACTGATTGTTAAGAAAAATGCCAGGTCCTAATCTTTGCCCCACTGCTCCTGACTGGTGTTCCAGAAGCGCTGCTCTAGGTGAAAAAGATAGTTCTCAGAGGTCATCTCTCAGTGTAGGAGTATTCTGTGGGCTGAAGGCAAGACGTCATCCAACTCTCCTCAACCCAGTGTCGATAACTTGCCCAAAACCACCCAACCAGTGGAGAGCATGTCAGCTTTCCACTGCTGTGACAAAACACCTGAGGTAACAGCTTAAAGGAGGGAGAATTTCTTTAGGCTTCTGGTTTCAGAAGGTTCAGTCTAGGCCTGCCTGGGCCCGAGGCTTTGGGCTCACAGGCAGTGCATGGTGGAGGAGAGATCACATGAGGAGGCAAAGGAAAGGGCCAAGTGCCCTTGTGCTGTCAAGGGGCCCCTTAGGGACTAACTTCCTGCCGGGAGGCCCTACCTCTGACAGATCCACTGCTCCCACGAGCACCATCAGCTGGGGACCAAGCCTCAGTGCGTGGCCTTTGGGGGTCAGCAAAGGTCCAAATCTTGTGTGTGTGGGGGGTGGGGGACGTAGTGTAACTTGAGGTGCTGGTGGCTGTCTAAAGTGGCTCTGTCCTGGCCTTGACTAGAAGCAGCTAGGGCACCTGCCTCCCATTCCTGCTCTGCTACCGCTGTCCGCAGACCCCTGACCGCTGTTCTGCCCGTGCCTCAGTCTGGCCCATCTTCAGTGCATCTCCTCCTTGTTATGCTCTAAGCTGCTTTAACTCTGCATAAAATGAGTAGAGCTGGGCGTGGTGGCGCATGCCTGTACTCCCATCCAGTTGGGAGGCTGAGGCAGGACGACCAAGTCCGGGAATCTGAGGCCAGCCTGGTCCACATAGCAAGGCCCTGTCTCACAAAAACTTAAAAAAAAGAGAAAAAGAGGGACCCTGTTCCCAACTTGACCAGTCAGTATCCGTGGGACCTTTATCCCATTGTGTGAGCCCCTAGCTCTCCAACCCCATCCACATCACTCACACAGCTGGTCGCTTCTTTGCTGTCCTTGTCCTGAACACCTTGGTGGCAACTTAATTGCAGTGTCCCTCCCCCGTCTGTGGAGGCTACGTCCTCCGCCCTACCGTTGAGGCTGCCAAGCCCTGTATATACCACGTTTTCTCACCTGTTCATTTAAAGGGAGCACTTTGTGCTTCTCTTTGGCATGTGTGAGCCGCCAACCCATTGTTCTTGTACGTGGGGCCATTAAGTAAAATAAGGATTGCTTGGACACAAACATTACGATACTGTTTCAGTAAATTTAGGCACAAAAGTTCTCTACAAAATACTAGAAAACTGAATCCAGCATCCTGTAAGAGGGATTATACACCATGACCAGGTGGAGTGTTTTTCAGGAATGCAAAGTTGGTACAACATATGAAAATCAGAGCTAGGTGTAGTGGTACAGTACCTGTAATCCCAGCACTTGGGAGGCTGAAGCAGGATTCCAAGTTCAAGTCCAACCTGAACCACATAGCAAGGCCCTGTCTCAAAAAGCAAAAAAACAAAGGATTCTACCTCAAAGTGAAGACAAGTTCACAGAATGGAAGTATTTGCAAATCATATATTGGATATGCCCATAGCATCTATAATATATAAGGAATAAAAAGACAAATTATCCAGTTAAAAATGGGCAGAGGATGAGCCAGGGACTTAGCTCAGTGGCACTGGGCCTCCCTTATAAGCGCAAGGTCCTGAGTTTGATCCCCGGTACCAAAGAAAAAGGCACAGGATTTCAACATTTTTCTTTTTTGTTGTTATTGTTTGTTTTGTTTTATTTTTTTGAGACAGAGCATATATATTTTGTTTGTTTGGTTGTTTTAATTCCAGGCTGACCTTGAAGTATGTAGCCTAGGCTGATGGTGATCCTCCTGCCTCAGCCTCCTGAGTGCTGGGCTGGGCGTCTGTCCCCACATCTGGCAAACTAGAACTTTGTCATGAAGAAAATTCCAGGCCAAGAAAGCATTACTAGTGAATCCCACTAAACACTGAAGAAAGAATACCAATTTATAAAGTTCTTTCAGAAAAGAAAGAAGAAACAGTTCTCTATTGGTTTTCATGAAGGCATCATGATCTTGATAGCAAAGCTGGACAAAGACGGGCTGGGGATTTAGCTCAGTGGTGCGTCCGCCTGCCTTGAAAGCAAAAGGGAGTTCGATCCCTGGTACCAAAAAAAAAAAAAAACTTGACAAAGACATTATCAGAAAATTGTGCTGAGGCCGGGGATTTAGCTCAGTGACCCCATGCCTGCCTTGCAAGCACAAGGTCCTGAATTCGATCCCAGGTACCAAAAAAAAAAAAATTGTGCTGAGCTACTGGGCTACCCCTTCTGCCCCTCTGATAGTCGCTAGGATGACAAGAGGACTGATGTCCTTCATAAGGAGTGGAGGGCTAGGGTTGGGTGCCTGAACCACACCTCCAGCCTGACCTCCAGCTCAGGAGGGTGGCCTTGGTGGAAATGATGGGCAATGGACAAATTCTACAGGCAAATGAGCTTGTTACTCCACCTTGTTTTCCAACCTCCAGACACAGAGTGAGGATCCAGTTAGGGCTGCTGGCCATCTGCCAGATGGAGCCATACAGTTCCCTTGTGACCGGCTGACACCTTTGACTTTGGATGGTCTGCTATTGGAGTTACTGATAAATAAACACACCCTCCAGTCCAGGGAGTGTCCCCGGACCTGTATGAGCCCAGAGCTATCTTTGACAACGTGAGGGTTCACATTCTGGCTGCCCCATTCCTACCTACACCAATGTGGCTTAAATGTGCTCCGTTCTGTTTTCACAGAGTCCCAACAACAAGGTAGTGTTGGGCTCCCTGTTTTGCAGATAAGGAGTCTGTATCCCTAGCAAGGCATGGCCTAGCAAGTCATGCTCTTTCTCTGCTGTTCTCTTCTCCCTGTTAGAAGTTAGGTCCAAAATGAGAAAATGAGGTGTGGTAGCCTGTAATCCCAGCACTTGGAAGGCTGTGGCAGGAGGATCACCATGAATTTGAGGCCAGCCTGGGTTACACAGAGACCCTGTCTCAGAAGGAAAAGGGGAATGGAAAGAGGTAGGGGAGGGGGGAGGAGGTCCATCTTTGACTCACATTGCTTCTTAATTTTTTTTTTTGGTACCGGGGATCGAACTTGGGACCTTGCGCTTGCAAAGCAGGCGGCGGAACCACTGAGCTAAATTCCCGGCCCTATTTTATTTATTTATTTATTTTTTTTTTTGGTACCAGGGATCGAACTCAGGTCCTTGCGCTTGCATGGCAGGTAGCGAAATCACATTCCTTCCTTAAGCATGCAGCCTATTGCATAGTAGGTCTTAGTAAATCTCTACCCATGGAATGTAGTAAACAAAAACCTTCCTAGTCTTTTGGTGTCTAAATGATATAGGGCATATGATATAGGGATGATATAAGGCCTCCAAATGATACTTTATAACTCCCAACCTGTTAGATGTGTGATATGCTGAGTTCTGTAAAATTGAAGAATAAATTCTAGGAACAACAGAGGTTAAGAGTAGGAAATATTTATTGAGGGAAAGATAGCTTCTAACTAAGACAGAAGGGGGTCCCCGGAAAGTGGGTTGCCTGTGGACCCAGCTTCTTGAGGATTTTGTAGAGCAAAACCAAGAGGTGGGGGGTAGGGGTTTGAGATGGGACAAAATTATAGTCAACTAATAAGATTACAAGTATAGTAACTTAGGTAATATTGATCCAATGGAAAATCACATGGTGGGCATGAGGTGGGACAAAACTATGGTCGACCAATAAGATTACAAGTATAGTCCCTTAGGTGATATTGATTACATGGGGATCAAATGGGGAAGCTAGTCACATAGCAAGCATACATGGACTGAGAGGACCTTTCCTGGAAGGGATGGGTTAGGGTCTTGGTCCCCCACCCAGGTGACTGATGACTGTTTAGAATATCAATCTTTATGCTTTATCCCTGGGGAAGTAGGTATAGCCATGTCCTCTTTGTCTTGAGGGCTGGCCTTCAACCAAGGCGCCTCCACCCACAGCTGTGATGTGATCCTCTGCCCTGACTTCTCGGTGGGCCAGGCCCTGTCTGACTGCCCACAATATTTCTACCTAACTTAGCTGTCTATGATTAAGGGTTCACATTCTGGCTGGCCCATTCCCACCTACATCAGTGTGGCTTAAATGTGCTTTTTCACAAAGTCCCAACAACAACAAGAACAATGTAGTATTGGGCTCCCTGTTTTGCAGATGAGGAATCTGTATCCCTAGCAGAGTGACCTCTCCCCACATTTTCTTTCTGCTGTCCTCTTGTCTTCTCCCTGTGTTACAAGTTAGGTCCAAACTGAGGCATGGTAGCCTGTAATCCCAGCACTTGGGAGGTTGAGGCAGGAGGATCTGGGATACACAGAGAGACCTTGCCTCAAAAGAAGAGGAGGAGGAGGGAGAAAGGGGGAGGAACGGGTCCATCTTTGACTCACATTCCTTCCTTAAGCACTCAGCCTGTTGCAAAGTAGGGTTTAGTAAATCTCTACTAATGCGGTAAACAAAATCGGTAAACAAAATCGTAGCCCTCCTAGTCATTTTCGGTGTCTAATCAGCCTTCCTCAGAGCTTTACCCTGGAAAGAGAATCCACATTCTAGCATGAGTCACCAGGCCGCCTCACCCATAACTAGGTTAGAGGTGGATTTCTTAAGTGTTTATTTCCTGGAAATGGCTCCAGTTCCTCCCTTGGGAGGCAGGCAGCATTTTATAGTAGGTAATGTTCAGTTTCTGGAACCAGATAGGCTGGGTGCCAGTATCTAGTGTTTTAGGCAAGCTATTTGGTTTCCCTGACCCTCAGTTTCCTCTTCTGTACCATGAAGTAATTTTACCTACCTCAAGGACTTCATGTTTGCATTAAATGAGATACTATGAGTCAATCTTGATTTCCTGCCCCCTCCTGGTCCCTCTGTCTCCCCCTCTCCATGCAGACCCCTCCACAAGGTATGGACAAGTAGAGTAAAAGGGTCTGGGGGGAGGAGGAGCCCACAGGATAAGATTTGGGAGACCAGGAGTCAGGATGTCGACTTCTGCAGTGTGGAGTGGAATTCCGGCTTGCTTGTGAGGGTTGTGAGACCTCAAATCTAAAATGGACATAGTGACACTGTCGCATAGGGGGACGGTAAGAAATAATACATGTGACTTGTCCCGAAGCAGCAGCTCTCTTAGGTAGTGCAGGACATTTACCCTCTCCTCTTTTTGGCTAATCTCCTGTCATCCGATGCAAATTCCAAGTTATCCTCCCCAAATGCTTTCTTCTGGCCACCCACAAATTCTACACCGAGGTCAGAGGGGGAAAACAGAATTTAAAAAAAAAAAAAGTAAAATAAACAAGTCTCAACAATTTTGGGGAAAAATTTTTTAAGTTCCAATACTGTGTAGAAGGGAAAGTGAACATTTGCTAAACTTGGGTGAACCCCAAATGTCAGTAAAATGGAAATGTTCTATACTGGGCAAGGCAGTGCACACCTGTAATCCTGGCACTCTGTGAGGCTGAGGCGGGAGGATCTCACCTTTGGGCCCTGCCTAGACAGAAAGATCTCCCAGGCTGGGGATTTAGCTCAGTCGGGCCACAGCCTGCCTCCCAACCAAGGTCCAGAGTTCCATCCCTGGTACAAAAAAACCCAAACCAACAACTCCCTATTTCTTATTATCTGTCTTTTATTTTGCTCTTTATATTTCGGGTTTCTCATAGTAAGAGAAACCATGAGACATTTAAGCTTGTGTGTCTGATTTATTTCACTTAATGTCAGGGTCTCAGGTGCATCCATTTTCCTCCAAATGACTCGCTTATCCTTCTTTATCGCAGAGTAGTACTCTACAGTTATGTCTTTAAAAGCCCTGCCCAGAGGGAGGACAGCAATGGGGCCGGTGATTTAGCTCAGTGGTTCTGCCGCCTGCCTCGCAAGCGCAAGGACCTGAGTTCGATCCCTGGTACCAAAAAAAAAAAACAAACCCTGTCTCGCTCAGCTTCGCTCTGGGGGCGCAGGGACACCGCGGGGCCAATTTCTTCTCTCACAAGGGGGCACCTGCTCCAAGCGCAGGTCTGAGCGTGTCACTCTGGTCCTTGGTCCTGATCCTACGGGTCTGGGCTTCTCCACCTCGAGTCCCCCTCCGTGTCAGTTCCCGCAGTGGCCACAGGAAAGCACTGGAAGGTGGGGACCTGGGGCCGTGTGGCTCACGACTCCGCCCCCGAGCGCCAGCTGGCGGGCGACGCGGACTACCGAGGGGAGCCCCCCGCCCCCGCGGCCCCGCCCACGTGACTTCCTGAAAGCCCGGCCCGCCCGCCCGCCCGCTGGGTTTCGTTTCCGCGGCGCGCAGGCTGGGGACGGTCGCTCGCGCGTCGTTCTCACCGCTGCCGGTGCGCGTCCCGTCGGGGCCCCGCGAGCGCCATGGCCGAGCTCTGCCCGCTGGCCGAGGAGCTGCTGTGCTGCATCTGCCTGGAGCTTTTCAAGGAGCCAGTCAGCACCCCGTGCGGCCACAACTTCTGCAAGTCGTGCCTGGAGGAGACGTGGGCCTTCCAGGGCGCGCCCTACCCGTGTCCCCAGTGCCGCACCATCTACGCCGAGCGCCCGCAACTGAACAAGAACACCGTGCTGTGCGCCGTGGTGGGCCAGTTCCTGCAGGCCGAGCAGGCGTCCGCGGAGGACTGGACGCCGCCCGCCCGCTCCCCGGCCCCGGGCCCGGCCGTGCAGGTGTCCTGCGACCACTGCCTGCGGGAGCCGGCCGTGAAGACCTGCCTCGTGTGCATGGCCTCCTTCTGCCAGGAGCACCTGCGGCCGCACCTCGACAGCCCCGCCTTCCAGGACCACCCGCTGCAGGCGCCGGTCGGGGACCTGCGGCGCCGCAAATGTCCCCAGCACAACCGTCTTCGGGAACTCTTTTGTCCCGAGCACGGCGAGTGCATCTGCCACATCTGCCTGGTGGAGCACAAGGTCTGCTCGCCCGTGCCCCTGAGCCAGGCCAGCGTCGACCTGGAGGTAGGCCCGGGCCGGGAGGGCGCACGGCGACCCCACATCTGCTGTTGCACTCTGAGGCCGGCGGTGGGACTCTGGGGAGATGGGCGTCGCTGCACCTGGGATCTGCTCGTCCCAGGCCACCCGTGGGCGCTGGGCTGGGGGACATGGTGTGTGTGGGATGGGCATCCCTTGAGTGCTCCCCACGTGCCCATTTTGCAGAGGGGACAGCTGAGGGAGGGCTCAGGCAAAGTTACATGCCCAAGCCTGTGGTTGTCTTGAATGTCAGATGGGAGCCCTGAAGGTCCCCTCCTTAAACCCTGGCGGCACTCAGGAGGTTTGTATTAGTTCCATTTCACAGTTCAGGGAAACTGAGGTTCCGAAAGGCTAACATACCAGAGCTAATGCAGTAAGTGACTAAGTGAACTCTGGAACCCAGAAACTGTTTGAAGTTGCTCCCCACGGAGCCGATTCCTGACCAGATCTGGAGAGCCCAGAGGGTGGGACATTCTTGAGGTCATGGAAGCAATGGAGGCCAGGGAGGGCAGGCAGAGGCCCAGGGATCCCCAAATATGAACCCCAGGGAGACCAGGGTTCTTGCCATCGAGAACATGACCTGGCCTAGTGTTGTCACGGGAGACAAGCCTCGGCGAGGTCAGAGAGGTGTGCGGTGGTGCCCTGGCCTGGTACAGGCCCTGCTCCTCTGCCACGCCCGTCCAGCCCTGCCTGCCTCTCTGGGCCTTACCCAAGCTCCTCAGGGGTTTTCCCCTGGGTCTCAGCAGCTGGACTTCAGGGCAGGTCCTTTGAGCTCTGTGGTCGCCGTGACTTGGGGATACACAGCGCGATCCAATTATACGGTGAATGGATGAATGTTTAAAAACTTTATTACACCAGAACACACATTGCCATTGATCCTCCTCAACACACAGCCCCGTCCCTTCGGCCACACTTCACCCATCGTTCTTGACACTTTCTGAAGCAGTTTTGGGACGCCCTCTTTCACAAGTGTCTTCATGAGGTGGGATCAAAGTACAATGAAAGCTGCTGCCCAGTGCCATCCTACAGAAAGGCAGGGATGTCGTGTGTCCTCATCATCCAACTTATTCCCGCATCTGGCCCTGTGGACTTCCAGCTCTTCCCAAAGTCAAAATAACCGTGAGAGGTAAACATTCTGAATTGATTCCGAACATTGAGGCAGCCAGGATGGCAAGAGGGCTCCAGAACTGCTTCCCAAAGTGGCAAGAAGGAGAGAACAAGTGTGTGTGAAGTGAACGGGTGTGTTTTGGGGACATTAAGAGCAATGTGTCTTTACTGTATTTTTAAAAATTTTGAACAGTCACTCTATCTTCACCACCTGTTCCAGGAGAGAACCTGCCCCATATGGGGCTTTTCCCCCTGGATCTGCCTGGCTTTTGGAGGAATCTCTGCAGATCTCTGAGCCTGCACTTCCTTATTTGCAGGGACCTAATGGCAACCAAGCCACACCTCCAGGGGCAGCTGGGTGGCTCTGGGGAAGTGCTTCAAGGGCAGGACTGAGGGCTTATATGGGCTTCAGCCAGAGGGGGCTTGGATCTTGACTTGGCTCCCAAGCTGGGAAGTGATAAAAAGGGACCCCCTGCTCTGGCTGCCAGCATGGCTTTTGCCTCAGGCCTTGAGCTCCTGGGCAGCCTGGTTCGTGGGAGACACTTAGCGAGGCACTGGCAGGACCGGGCAGGAGGGGCCTGCACAGCCCAGTGGGGCTGCTGCTCGCTTGCAGCCTCTGCAGCAGCCCTGGGCGCCTCCATGCGGTGGTGTTTAATCCTTGTAACAGGATCCCCAGGGCTCTTCCCTCCAGGGCCTGTTTTCCAGCCTTGCTGCTGCTCAGGCAGTGCCAGTGCCAGCCCCAGCTGGGCAGCACCTCCAGCCTGGCTTGCGTCCTTGGCCTCTGGGACGTGACCCTTGGATCTTTAAAGTTCTTGTTGGGCGAAGTGGCGCCTGCCTGTCATCCAGCACTTTGAGGGGCTGAGGTGGGAGGATTGATAATTCAAGTCCTGCCTAGGCGACTTAGCAAGGCTCTGTCTCAAAATAAAAAACAGAAAGAGTCCCCAGTACTGCCACCACCACTAAAAAAAAAAGTTCTTTACCTTTGACTAGGGGATCATTGCAGTTACCAAAGTCCCTGGACTGTTTGACTAATGATAGATAAACTCTTTCAAAATTCAGGGTTAGGGCTGGGGATTTAGCTCAGTGGTGCCACCGCTTGCCTCAAAAGGGCAAGGTCCTGAGTTTGATCCCTGGTACAAAAAAAAAAGAAAATTCAGGGCTCGGGGTGCAGGACGAAGAACGCTGTTGAAGTCAAACAGCGTCCAGCCACTAAGTGTCCGAGGTCTCCACCTGAGGCCAGCACTGCCTGGGCTTGGCCTTCACCCTTGGCAAGGACTTGGGCTTTCCTGATGGGGACCTATGGCCTTGGGCTCTGCTTCCAGCCCGACACGTGACTGTTGATGTGTTGATCAACTCCAGATTCACAGTCAGGGTCAGCTGCGATTATCTGGTGGAGTGGGAGAAGTAGGAAAGTGGAAGGGAGGTGTCAGGACATGTTGAGCCAGCTACTTAGAGAAAGGAAATGTCTTTTTTTCTTTTTTCCCTAGAAATTTCTGGCATGCTCAGTTTGGTCACATGTCTATCATTTTATTTTTTTATTCTTTGAGACAGGGTCTCACTATAGGCTGGCCTTGAACTCACTGTGTAACCCAGACTGGCCTCGAATTCATGGACATCCATCCTCCTGCCTCAGCTTCCCAAGGGCTGGGATCGCAGCACTTCTGCCAGTTGACACAACTGTGGGCTTGCACTTGTCACCTAATTGCTCTGTGCCACAGTGTTCTTTTCTGTAAAGGTTGGAAGATTCCTACCCCCATACCATCGCTCTTAGCTTGCTTTAAATAAGTTAGTATGTGCAGGGCACTAGAACCACACCTGCACCCAATAAGTACATCGTAACTGCTAGCTGCCCTTCTCATTTCTGTGCCCCAGCATTTCATCTGAGTGAGGATGTAGGAGCCTCAGATACTGAAGTGATGTGTGTGTGTGTGTGTGTGTGTGTGTGTGTGTGTGTGTGTGTGTTGCTGGGGATTGAATCCAGGACCTTCACGCTGAGCGACATCCCCAGCTCCTTCATTATTATTGTTTTAAATTTTGAGACAGGGTGTCGCTAAGTTGCTAGGTTGCTTGAACTTTCCTTCCTGCCTCGCCTCCCAGAGTGCTGCGATGACAGGCCTGGGCCACTGAGCCTGGCTTGATACGACATCTTGGAGATATAATAGGAGGATGGTGCTGACTTCCTTCCTTCCTGCCTCATTTCTCTTTGTTTCTGGAGGTTCTGGGAGCCAAGTGAATCTGAACTGGCCTAACCCGGGGACGGATTGATTCGCAGTTGGGCTTCACCACTGGGGCCCGGCTCATCCAACTCCCAGCACTAGCTGGTCCCAGCACTAGCTGGTCCCAGCCTTGGGTGGCCAGATGACGCTTGGGCCCTGATTTCTGCTCCCTGCCTTCCTGAGGCTGATAGAGTGTCCCAGCTTCCTTCCAGATTGGCAGGGCCTCTGGAGAAGCGTTCCAGACTCAGGCTTGTCTCTCAGGGGGTCCCCTTCTCCTGTGTCTTTTTCTCTTTGGGATTCTGACTGATTTTCCGCTATCCGGTGGGGGGAGGGCTGTCCCCATGGCCAAATCTGCCATCGTGGAAGCAGCTGTCCCAGCGGCCCACCTTGCTGTCCTCTGGGCCTTGATTTCAGCGGCTGTAACACGGGGCGTAGCGAACGGATTCACCATTGCACAGGCTGGCGTTAGTGCGGTCCAGGGCACCAGCACCCGCACTGTTCACTTTGCCAGAAGCGCCAGAGATTCAGGATGGTTCCGGGCAGGGAGCTGGCCAGCCCAACCGGGGCCTCTCACCCTTGTTTGTTTCTTGTGCAGAACAAGCTGAGGCAGAAGCTAAGCCTCATGTACGGTCAAATCAACGGGGCATCCCGAGCGCTGGAGGACGTGCGGGCCAGGAAGCAGGCCATGCAGGTGAGTGGCGCTGCCCTGCCCCCGCACCACCTTGGCCTGCAGGCAGGACAGACAAGGCCTGGGCCTGGACAAAGCTGAGTATGCTGACGAGCATCAGAGTTAAGTGGTATCCTGGCAAAGCATGCGGAAGGCCGTGTGCCCAAGGAAGATTCACTGCAGACCCAAACTGAAGGCCAGCTATAAACCCAACCTTGCTGGGTGTGGTGGTGCCCTTGGGAAGCTGAGGCAGGAAGATCGCCATGAGTTTGAAGCCAGCCTGGGCTACATAGCAGGACTCTGACTCAAAAAACCAAAAAACCAAAAACAGTAATGTAGAAAGATGACTATTAAAAATAGGAAGCAAAAGTTTATAACTGCTAGGGCTGCATCTAGCTCGGAAAAGGAAATACAGTCATTTCCTAAGGCTGCTGTGAGAAGTTGCCTCACAGAACTTTACTCTCCCACAATTCTGGAGCCCAGAAGTCCACAGTCAAGGTGTCAGTAGGGCCACAGGGCCTCTGATGCCTCTGGTCCAGGGACACTGCCTGCCTCTTCCAGCTTCCGGGGACCCAGGCATTCCTTGGCCTGTGGCTACCTTGTATCGATCATCGATCGGTCTCTGTCTCTATTGCCTCGTGGCCACTTCCTCTCTCTCTGGGGCTCTTGATAAGGACACTTGTCCTTGGATCCAGGGCGCACCTGGCTGATCCGGGTGATCGAATCTCAAGACCCTTCATAATTGCCTCTGCAAAGACCCTTGTTCTAGCTGAGGTTGAGTTCAGAGGCTCTGGCATGTGGACCTGTCTTTGGCAGGCCTGCATAACCATCACAGGAAGTGTAGGAAAACATTGCATGAAAGAACTATTCTAGGGTAAGAGTGGAATTTTTGTTTTTGTTTTTAGTTGGTTTTTTTGAGACAGGGTCTTGCTATATAGCCCCGGCTAGCTTTAAACTCCCAGTGATCCTCCTGCCTCAGCCTCTCAAGTGCTGGAATTATGCGTGTGCACCACTACGCCTGGCTTCCAAATTTTTTTTTTTTTTTGGTACCAGGGATCAAACTCGGGACCTTGTGCTTGCAAGGCAGGCGCCAGAACCACTGAGCTAAATCCCCAGCCCCTCCAAATTTTTTATAACACTCAATTACCTTTGACTGAAAGAAGCTTGGATTTTTAAACGTCCTGAGCCAGGGTGTCTGTTGCAGCTGTGGCTCTACTGGGGACGCCAGTGAGTTAGGCACTAGCTGTGTGGCTCCTGTCAGGTGGGTGGATCCCGAGCCTGTCTTCCCATCTGCACAGCAGAGTCTTAGCTCTTTTCTGGAGGGGGTTGTGGGGCTGAATGGGTGGGGTGGGTGAACGTGTTATTGGTTAAACTGCTGCAAACAAAAGTGCCCCCGAATTCAGAGATTGCAGCCAGCCAGGTGGAAGTTGATTGTGCTCATGGTGACGATCAACCAGCCTGGCGGGATGGCCGGATGGCCGTGCTCCCCACGATGATTCAGGGGTCCCGGGCCCCCCCGCTTCCTGTTGTCCTGCTCCTCCACAGGGCAATGTCCTTCTCTCTTTGGTTGAAGCTGGGTGTTTGGGGAAATCTCAGCCCTGGTACAAGAGAACTCACCACAAAGGCGCAGGAGCCAGGGTGCGGGAGAAAGAGGCAGACATGTCTGGGATTGGACGGAGTGCAGGGTGTCAGGGCCTCGGGGACAGAAGCCCGTTGTGAGTGGCAGCAAAGCCAGAGGGTACTGCGGCCCAAGCCAGGAGGAGGGGTTTAGCTGGGTAAAAGTAGCCAGTGGCCAACTGGCATGTTCTGGCCTTTCTCAAAATCTACCAGTATGTCCCAGCATCAGTGGCCTTGTTAGTATGATTCACTCAGCTGGCCGGCTTAATGACTGTGTTTGTCCTATAGGGGTTGGGAGGTGTGCCTGGGTCACAAAGGAGGTGAATTGGCAGTCATGACCAAGATGGCAGCAGCCATGTCAAGCTGGGTTTCTACACTGGTTCACTGTAGCTTCCGTGTTGTAGTCTGAAAAGTGAGGTAGGGAGGGAAACAAGTCATTTCCTTCCTTTTTTTTTTTTTTCTTGTGGTGCTGGGGATTGAACCCAGGGCCTTGTCACTGAGCTACATCCCTGGCCCTTTTAAAGTTTTATTTTAAGACAGATTCTCACTAAATTGTTGAGTTGCCCAGACTGGGCTAGAACTCATGATCTTCTTGCCTCAGCCTCCCAGAAGGCTGGGAGCACAGGCGTGCACCACACCTGACTAGCAGTTTCCTTTTGCACAAGTGATAGTGTTGCACATACCATTTCCGGCTGTGCCTCTTCATCAGAATTTGCTTAATCGCATCCCAAAGCCTCGCTGCAGAGGGGTTGGGGAAATGCTATCTTGGTGAGCTTTGTACCCAGCTGGAGCTCCAGGGAGAGGTCTCGCTCTGTAGTCCAGGCTGGACTACATAATGAGTTCAAGGCCAGCCTGAACCACATAGCGAGACCCTGTCCCAAAAAGCCAAAACCCCCAAAATAAAATAATTACTTAGGAACTGCCTAGAGTTTAAGAAATAGGGCTGGGGATTTATCTCAGTGGTTCTGCCCAGCTGCCTCGAAAGGGCAAGGTCCTGAGTTCGATCCCCAGTACCAAAAAAAAAAAAAAAGTGACCCGGCTGGGTGTGATGGTGCATGCCTGGAATCCCAGCACTCTGGGAGGTTACCTAGGAGGGTCATGAGTTCAAGCCCAGCTCTGGCAGTTTAGTGACTTGTTTCAAAATAAACAATAACAAAAGGTCTGGGGGTGTGATGTGCCTCAGTGCAATCTCTAGTAGTGTACGGGGGAAAAAAGGAATGAAATGTTCCGGGACAGCCTCTCCCACTCCTCCCTTGTCCTGTCCCTCCTCCTCTCCTCAGAAGCAGCCGCTCTCTTGAATGCATCCATTCTGTGCATTGCTTTATACTTTCTTTGCATACGTGTGTGTTTCTTAGTAATCAACACCACCATCCTGTTTGTTTCTAAGCTTTCTATAAAGCTTCCTCTGCAGGTTGTTTTTCTGTCATGGAGATTTACGCATGCACAGGTCCAGATTAATAATATTTCATAACTATTAGTACTCTGTTCTATGGGTCGTTCTCCATCTCTGTGAGTCTGCTCTTGATAGATGTCTAGGTTGTTTTTGTCTCCTTCGTTAGACTGATTCCTAGGTATTTCAGTTTTTTGGATGCTATTGTGAAAGGAATTGTTTCCCTAATTTCTCTCTCAGTCAGTCTGTCATTTGTGTACAAGAAGGCTATTGTTTTCTGAGTGTTGACCTTGCATCCAGCTACTCTACTGAATCTGTCAATTAAGTCTAGGAGTCTTCTGGGTCTTCTGTGTAAAGTATCATATCCTCGGCGAATAATGACAGTTTAACATCTTTCTTTCCTATCTTTATTCCTTTTATTTCTTTATCTTGTCTGATTGCTGTGCCTAATGTTTCCAGAACTGTATTGAACAGGAGTGCTGACAGTGGACATCCTTGTCTTGTTCCTGATTTTGGCATGAAGGTTTTCAGTTTTTGACCATTTAGTATGATGTTGGCTGTTGGTTTTTCATAGATAGCTTTAATCAAGTTGAGATAAAGACCTTCTATTCCAATTTTCTGTAGGGTTTTTATCATGAATGGGTGTTGGACTTTGTCAAATGCTTTTTCTGCATCTATTGAGAGGATCATATGGTTTTTGTCCTTGACTCTGATAATATAGTGTATTACATTTATTGATCTATATATGTTGAACCATCCCTGCATCCCTGGGATAAATCCAACTTGGTCAGGGTGTATGATGTTCTTGATGACCCTCTGTATTCTGTTTGCCAATATCTTGTTGAGGATTTTTGCATCTATGTTCATTAGGGAGATTGGCCTGTAGTTCTCTTTTTTGTTTGGGTCTTTGTCTGCTTTTGGAATCAAAGTAACACTTGTGTCCAGGAATGAATTTGGAAATATTACTTCCCTTTCAATTTCATTGAAGAGTTTAAAGAGTAGTGGCAATAGATCTTCTCTAAATGTCTTGTGATCCAGGTTGGATCCAGCAGTGATCCAGGTTGTTGTTGACTTTTGCTTTTTCAAACAGTGCTGCTTATGCTGGGTGCGGTGATGCACACCTATAATTCCAGCACTCAGGAGGCTGAGGCAGGAGGATCACCACAAGTCCAAGGCCAGCCTGGGCTACATAGTGAGTTCAGGTCCAGCTTGAACTATATACAGAGACTCTGTCTAAAAAACCAAAAACAAACAAGAGCCCAGTGCTGCTTGTGAACATGCTGAGTGTGTCTCTAGGCAGGTCTGAGAGGTTTAGGGGAGCATATGCCGAGGGTTGGCGTCCCTGGGACGGGGATAGGGCACCTCCACATCCATTCACTAGATATTGCAAACGGCTGGCCAAAGTGGCTATGCAGTCCATGGGAGCCCTCTTGCCTTGGCTCTTAGGATGCTGCAGGCAAGAAGATCGACCAGCTGAAACAGGAATATAAGGAAATGAAGGCACTCATTGACTCCTCTGAGGCCAGCGCAACACGAAAGATAAAGGAAGAGGAGAAGAGGGTCAGCACCAAGTTCGACACCATTTACCAGATTCTCCTCAAGAAGAGGAATGAGATCCAGACCCTGAAGGAGGATATCGAGCTCAACCTGGCCAAGGGGGACGAGTTTGAGTTTCTGGAGGTGGGTGTTGAAGAGGGCACTGCTGAGGACCCTTCTGCCCTCCCAGAGTCGGGGGGAGAGGAGGTCGTTAGAAGCATCCCTGATGAGCCAGGCGTGGTGGCCCATGACTGTAATCCCAGCCTTCTGGGAGGCTGAGGCAGGAAGATTACTGTAAGTTCTTGGCCAGCCTGGGCTACATAGTGAGTTCAAGGTCTGTCTGAACTACATAGTGAAACCCTGTCTCAAAAATAAATAAATAAAGTGTCCCTGAGATGCACACTGTATTTCTATGCTGTGCAGCAATTGGGCCTGGGCTTAGGGGCTTAGTCCCTGGCCCAGGATCTGGATGTGGCTTCGTGGGTTGTGTGCCTGGGGTCTCACAGGGCTGCCTGCGCTGGTTTTGGAGCTCAGGCCTGTCCTCAGGCTCACCTGGTTTTGGGCAGAATTCAGTTTCCTATGGTTGTAGGATCCAGGTGCCCACTCCCTTGTGGCTGTCAGCCGAGGTCTTCTGTCAACTTGGCAGCTTATTTTGTCAAGCCAGGGGGGGAATTTCTCCCTATCCCTCTTTAGAGGATTTTTACTTGATAAGTGTGTGTCCACCCAGGAAAATCACCCTGTTGACTCACTCAGAATCACCTGATTTGATTATACCTGCAATATTCCTTCCGCTTGGGCATGTAATGTAAGCTAATCCGTGGGTGTGTGGCGCTCTGTTCTGCGCCACCCCCCTCCTCAAGAGGAGGGATTATTCAGGACTTGTACATGGGAGGAGCAGGAATTTGGGGCCCTCCTAGACTGTACCTACCTCGAACCTCCACCCCTTCCTCCTGTCCTCCCTCTACGTGACCCCGGAAGTGCCCTTCTGAAGCACTGGAGCCATCTCTTTCTGGCTTCCTGCTCTTGCATGGCTGGTGAAGTCCTTGGTGCCCGGGCCTCTCCTTTGTCTGCAGCTTCATGGCAGGGCCACCTGCCATTCTCCGCCCAGTGGATCATGTTCTGTGTCCAAGGCCAGCTCCAGTTGCCCGCATTTTCCTAGGGTCCCATTATTGTGCTACTTGTTCCAGGGTATGTCACACTGCCTTGGCTGTGACGCTACATGACATTGCAGATGTGTCTGCTTTTGTTTCTCCACCGGAAGCCCATCTGTGGCACTCCGCTCCTTCCTCACGTGCCCCATGTGGAGCCCGTGCTTGGTGTGCTGGAGCTGTTGCTACCACCAAAGGCCCAGACCCCTTGAACGGGAAGGGTGGAACCTTCTCCTCTCTCCGCACGATGCCTCGAATGCCCAGGCCGGATGTGTTGTATCCTGAGGCACATGTTCCTGGGCCCGGGATCGGCTGCTGGGCTCGCTGAGAAAGGATTCTGAGTCTGGTCCTCTGCGTAGGACCAGGTCTGTTAGATTCAAAGTTGGGACCTTCAGTGAGACCCTCCCTTCCTGTGGGACATGCCTGGGCGCTGACCAGGGGGTTAGGGCCGCTCCTTTAGGAAGGATCCTGTGTTCCCGCATTTTCCTAGCCAGGACTGGAGGAGAGGGAGGGGACGTCAGTCCACGCTGCTTTTTTGTGCCCCTCGGTGGCAGAGTTACCGGAAGGATGCTTTAAGCCCTGGTGACCTCAGGGCTGGAAGTTGAGCAGATGCCTCCATCTCAGCACCCCTGGGCACTGGCAGCTCCTGTGGGTGGGAAAGGACAGAGCCAGGCCCTGGCTTCCCAGATTCCCCGGAGCTGCCTGCCTTAATGCCCCCGCTTGTTCCAGAAAGCGTCAAAATTGCAAGGGATCACCACGAAGCCAGTCTACGTCCCCAAGGTGGAGCTGGATCAGGAGCTGCTAAGGGGCGTCTACCAGGGCACCTTGGACCTCAAGAGTGAGCTGAAGCGGGCCCTGCAGCAGCTCCAGGAGAAAAAGTCCGAGGAGCCCAGCAGCTCAGGTGACGTCAGCAGCTCCCCGCTTCCGTGGCAGAGCCTGAAACTGGGGGTTTTCTGGGCATCTTGTGGGGCATGGGGGTGGCGTCTGCCTACCCTGACATCTTGGCCATCCTTCCTAAGAGATTTCTGGGTGCTTCGATGGGGCTTTCTGTCCGGGGTCTTGCGGCCAAGGTGGGTGGGCTTTGAGTGGACTCGGGTTGTCTGGGTGTTCGGGGGTCTGAGGGACCTAGAGGCCCTGACACCCTTCCCTTCCTCGTACCCAGTCTGTCCCTAGATCTTGCTTTTTAAGTTTCTCCTGACTCTGCCCACTGTCCCCGCACAGCCGCCACCTGCCTGCTGTCTGCTGTCGTTATCTGCGCCCTGTGACTGTGGCAGCTTCCTGACTCCTCCCTCTGTGCCCCCTCCTGCAGCCAAAGAGTCTGTCAAGATGCCTTCCTCCTCTGCTCAGGGACTTGACATTGCCCTTAGATTATGGACCAGACCCTTGAACTGGGCTGCAGGCCCGGGCAGGTCCTGTCCTACTCTCTGCCCCCGGGCCTCCCTCATCTCTCTGCAATCTGTCCCTCAGATACGCTAAGCTTTCTGCCACAGGGCCTTTGTACATGATCTCTCCCCACTGCCCACAGAGCTGATTGAGTTCCACCATCTTCCCCAGTGTCTAACTCCTCGCTCACCCCAGCTATGTGCTAGGCAGAGCAGAGGACACGGAGCAGCTTCGAGTACCTTGTTTTTGTCCTTTGCCAATGACTGGAGGGGAGGTCGTGGCACAGCTGGTTTCTGGGCAGCTGGAGCGGAGCCGGACTCTGAGCCCTTCCCTCTTCCCTGACGCAGGTGATGCTGGAGACTCCTGCTCCGACTCCAGCCACAAAGGCCCACGGCCTGCGAAGAAGGCCCCGCGTAAGTGGCCTATCTCCCTCCCTGTGGCTGTGACTGGCTGGGGCTTTGGCTGGGACTCTGGGGGGTCCCTGCCCCTTCCGTCCAGGTCCCAGGGCTGCGGCGGGGTCCCCTCGGGCAGGAAGGAGGCGGGGCTGGTCCACCTGAGGGCTCGGTCCTGAGCAGAGCCCTGGTGCAGACGGCAGCTCCCAGTGGCTGGGTCTGCCCTCGGGAGGGAGCTCGGTGTCCCACTGGGAGGCGCTCCTGCTCTTCACGCATTTCTCGGCCTTTTTCAGGATTGTCCCCCTAGACACACACACTGGGATGTTTTAGAAAAGTTATTTCTCGTTGGTCCCACCATGGACTTTTAATACCACACATGTGCAGTTTATGGTGTCTGTGTGTTTTTCCTCATAAAAAGAATAGATTTGGGCCGGGGATTTAGCTCAGTGGTTTCGCCGCCTGCTGCGCAAGCGCAAGGACCCGAGTTCGATCCCCGGTACCAAAAAAAAAAAAAGAGTAGATTTATTTACATCCTCCTAAGCATCAATTTTTGTCATTTTGGGGTGCTGTTACCCACGATCTTATGGGTTTCCAGGTAACATGGATATTGCCAATTTGGGGCCCATATGTAGAGAACCACTTCCCCCCCAAGGACACACACTTTGGGTATTGTTTAACAACTGCCATGCCCATTCTGGTGGCACATGCCTGTAATCCTAGCACTTGGGAGGCTGAGGCAGGAGGATCGCCTTGACTTCAAGGCCAGGATGAACTACATAGCGAGACGCTGTCTCACAAAATCCCCAAAAAACCTCACATAATAATTGACAAGATTTTTTTGCTTCCCTGGTTTGTTTGTTTGCTTTTTTTTTTCTTTTGCAAAGATACAATTTACATGCAGTAAATGTACAGGTAGATACATTGTGACAAACCGATGCCAAAATGTTGCCCACCTGCCAACTCCTTAAGAGTCAGCCCCTCCGGCACTACTGGTGAGGTTTCTGTCGGTGCTGATTCCTTCTGCCTGCCCAGCCTTTCTGTTTTTCAAGTTCAGACAGCCTAGCTCTGTTTGTATGAATCAGAACGGTGCCAGTGAATGTTATTACGGGTCCTTTGAAAGTGTCATGGTGCTATGCTTTAAAATACCTGAATTTTGAAAACTTTCTTTTTCAGAAGAAAAGAAGCCCAAGAAGATTCGTAAGTTTGCATTTTTGTTTCTTTTTGCCCTTGAGACTCCTCCAACCCTAGAACTAAAAGCTGACAGTAAGCCAGGCCTGGACCCGCACACCTGTAACCCCAGAGTTCAGGGAAGCTGAGGCAGGAGAATCAAAGTTGGAGCCCATCCCGGACAATTTAGCAAGTTAGTGAGACCTTGTCTCAAAATAAGTCATACAGGGGATGTAGCTCAGTGCAGAGACTCTAGATACAATCGCCAATACTAAAAATGAAACAAAACAAAAAATAAACTGGCAGCAGCAGTTGATGGATTTTACCGGGGTTCTGGGTGGCCCAAGTCTTAGGACTGTATACTGCAAGGGTTGGTAGAGCATTTGTGGAGTGTGGGTGAGGCCCTGGGTTTGATACCCAGCACCACTAAAAAAATAAATACAGCCGGGCGTGGTGGTGCATGCCTGTGATCCCGGCAGTGGGGAAGTTAAGGTAGGAGAATCACCACAGGTTTGAGGCTGAGCTGGGCTACATAGCAAGACCCTGTCTCAACAACAAACAATACATGACTGTAGCCTTATCTGGACACGTCTGCACAGGCCTGGCCCTTCAGGTGTGTGTTTATGCAGTGGCTCTTGTCAGCTGGCTTGGGAGGGAGGTGACACCGCCCTGTCCCTTCTGGCCCCAGCACCAACTTGTGTCTCCCTTTCCTTGCCTCCAGCTACTGCCACGACCCCTGTATCACCCAAGACCCTTGTCTTCGGTGCCCCCGGACAGGCAGTGGACATGAAAGCGACTGTCCCGGATGGTGAGTTACGGTGGCTAAGGGCCTGCGGGGTCTTCACTGAGTTTGTCCCAGCAACCGCTGTTTCCTCTCCCAACAGCAGCCAAAGCCATGGACTTTCAGTCTCTCAAGGCCAAAGTGCTCGAGAACTTCTTAGTCAAGTCCAGATCCGAGCTCTTGGAATGTGAGTAGCTTGGTGGTGTGGATGGAAGTGTGGGTGGATGGGTGGATAAAAGAAAAAAATAAAGCACACACCTGTAGTCCCAGCAGGGAGGCTGAGGCAGGAGGATTGCTGTGAGTTAGGGGCCAGCCTGGGCTACATGGTGAGTTCAAGGCCAGCCTGTCTCAAAAGAAAAAAAAACAAATCCAAAAAGTGAAAAGAATAAATAGTACCCAGTGCTGCTGGAGCTCAAAGGGAGCTCCTAGGGGCTGACTCCTGGGGCGATGTCTTCTCAGATTCCGTGAAAGTCATCCTGGACTACAACACGGCCCACAACAAGGTGTCTCTGTCCGACAACTACACAGTGGCCTCCGTGGCCGACGTGCCACAGTACTTCCGGCCGCACCCACAGCGCTTCACGCACTGCTCGCAGGTGCTGGGCCTGCACTCCTACAAGAAGGGCATCCACTACTGGGAGGTAGAGCTGCAGAAGGGCAACTTCTGTGGGGTGGGCGTGTGCTACAGCAGTATGGAGCGCCAGGGCCCTGAGAGCCGCCTGGGCCGCAATGCCGTGTCCTGGTGCGTGGAGTGGTTCAACAACAAGATCTCCGTGTGGCACAGCAACGTGGAGAAGACGCTGCCCCCGACCAAGGCCACGCGGGTGGGCGTGCTCCTCAACTGTGACCACGGCTTCCTCATTTTCTTCGCTGTGGTGGCTGACAAGGTCCACCTGCTGTATAAGTTCAAGGGGGTGAACTTTACCGATGCCCTGCACCCGGCCTTCTGGATGTTCTCAGCGGGGGCCAGGCTGTCCATCTGCCCGCTCAAGTAGCAGGCCGCTGGGCTGGCACCGATTCGCGGGTGACCAGCTGTGGGGGCATCTGAGACCCGGGGGGTAGGGCCAGGTGCGACTGCCCTGGGGCGCGTCCCTAGGTCCCCCAGTGGAGAGTGGGGAGAGGGGCCAGGAAGTGTTGTCCCTCGTCTGCTGCCCCCACCAGGTGACTTCTGCCCTCCTCCTCACTCTCCTGGGAAATCTCCAGGTGCTGGGCAGAAGGGCAGGGCTTGGGGTGTAAAGCCATTAGTGCGCTTTTCCTCTGGTAGAAAGAAGATCGATACCTGGGTCAGGTCCTTTCTCAGGCTACAGGTATCTGCCCTTCAGCTCTCTGGGGCTCCTTTCCGACCTTGGTGTTTGATTGTTCTCTAGATTGTTAAAGTTCGAGAATCATTGGATTTTCTTTTCCTTTCTTTTTTTTTTTTGAGCAGAGTCTCATTTTGTAGTTCAGGCTGGCCTTGAATTTGAGGTGATCCTCCTGCCTCAGCCTCCCGAATGCTGGGATTATAGGCATACTCTGCCATGCCTGGCAGAATCATTGAATTTCAGTGTATATTTTATCTTTAGTGGTGCTGGGGATCAAATCCAGAGCCTCGTGCCTGTGAAACTCCTCCCCTACCACTGAGCTGTGCCACCAGGCCGAGTTTCAGCGGTCTGCAGACCCCTCCCCGCTGCTCCCCTCCTGTTGGGGCTCCAGTGCGTGGCTATTCTCTGTGCTTGAGGGGAGCCGTGGATAGCGAGTGTCCACCTGGACCCGTCTTCCAAAGAGGCGTGTCCTCTTCCTCCGCTGGAAAATAGCTCTCTTCCCTTCTGAGCTGTCTCCTCCCTCTGACACCACGCTGATGATTTCAAGATGTTCAGGGGAACCTTTGTAGTTCAGGCTCCATGACCTGAATTGGGCAGTGTGGGCTTTGTGTTATGTCCAGGCCACCCCGGTTCAGTTTGCATGGAACTTTCTGCCTCTCCGAAGGGCTACGAGAGGCATCTTGCCAAAGATGTACCTGCTGCCACACAGACCTTGGCTCCTTACCTCCCATCGCCAAGGCCCTGGGGCCAGAGCCCCGGCCCAGAGCATCTTGGCTTGGTCACCTTCCTCCCGGGTGGTCACATCGGACTGACTGCTGTCCATGCCTCCATGGCTGACATAGTCAAGCAGCCAGCTGTACCAGTTATCCTGAGCGTGCTGTCACGCAGCCGGGCCATGTGCGGCTGCCGCTGACACCATCGGGTGACTGTCTATGACCCGAAGGGCCTCCTAGGTAGCCCGGTGGGAGACGGCAATATTTCTGTTGATCCCTGGCCACAGGCTGAAGACGTGGCACTGACACCCTTGGGAGTGCGAGGCCTGTCGCTGGCCCTGGCCCCTTCCATGGTCTTCCTCTCTCTAGCCAATTCTGGATGCCACACGGACCAGGCTAGAGGGCAGGAAGACTTTTAAGGCTCGGGGAAGGAATGATCGAAAGAGGCCCAGACAAATGGCTATTATCCCTGTGGTGTTTCATGCAGTGAAAATGAGCCGGGCCACTAAGGGATAGGAGGGGATGGGTTGGAAGAATTTCCCCGCACCCCTTATAACCTAATGTCAGGATGTAAAGTTCCCACCCCCAAAATGTGAAGAACTTCACTTCTTGTGACATGAGTTCAGCTCTGGGTTTTCTGGAGCATCTTAGGGTATGAGAAGAGGTCACCGTTGGGAAATGAGGGACCCCAGGCTTTCTCATGTGGCCACTGAGAATGAAACACAACTCGGCCTGGTGCTGGAATGCCAGGGCTCTGAGCCCTTGGTATTCCTGACGGATGTGTGACCTGCGTCCTCTCCCAGGAAGAATTTTCAGTTCCTTGGGAGAGGAAGAATCTTTGTAGGGAAGATGTCCCTGCCATAACTGATCGGTTTTCTTCCTTTGCTCTGAGGAAAAAAAGTTCTCTGGTGATGGATGCTTGTCTGGTCTTGAAGATGTCCAGAAGCATCTTCATGGATCTTGTGAGACAGAAGCCTTGTCTGAAGCCAAGTCACACTCGGGAGATAGCTGGGCTCAGGGGAGAAGGATGCCAGAGGTATCCCAGGGTCCCGCTAGGGCTGTCTTCAGCTGGATGGGGACAACAGAGAGGGCTCTTCACTGGCAGATGTGAAGCTCAGGACAGAGGAGCCTGTGGCTCTGTATTGGGGAGAAAATCGAGTCACCAAAGCCAAGCCCTGTGCGAGGAGCTTTGCAGTTGCAGGCTGAGGTGCACACCCCGCTGCCTCTGCAGTGGTGAGGCCTCTCATGGTCCAGCTTTGCCGGCCCAGTTAGAGGAGGGCCCTGGGTGGCAGGAGCCTTTGTATCCACGAAGCTTCTCATTTTGGAGACTCAGCCAGGAGAGAAGGTAAGGGATGGCTCTTTCCCCACTCTCCCCATTGCATTGTGGAGATGCCTCGTACTGGGAGAGCAGAAAATCCCCAGTATCCTGCAGAAGTATCTGAAATCCCCAGAAGCACTAACATAAAACCCCCTCCTGGGTGCAGGTTCCGGCACTGCCTCAGGCACTCTGGCATGACAAACGAAAAGCCTCGTAGTATTCAAGACTGACTGGCCAACTGTGCCTGTTGTATTTACTCTGACTAATATTGATATGTAATCTTTTTACCTTATTCCCCCACCCACTAGTGGTTTTAGTTAATCTAGAATATTTGAAGTATTATGTCTTGAGCTTATTATTATTGTTTTCCTTAGGAATTGATTCTTTCAGGAGATAATCATGGCTATAACCAGGGCAAGGCTGGCTATTGTGGCTCAGGAACTTTGAAGTGCTGTCGGATGTTCTCTCTGGAATTGTGATGTAGTGGGCAGGGCTCCTGGACCTGGCGGATGAGGCATCCGGCTCTGAGGGCTGCTGCTCAGGAGCCTCTGGCTGCCTGCGCCTGGGCGGGGGCCTGGTGGCCTGCTGTGTGGGAAGCTGTGGATGAAGAGCTCTCAGACTGATAGGACTTCTGGGCTTGACTGCAGGTCAGTGCCTGGGGAGGATTAGGGAGCGAAGAAACCACAGGAAGATGACCAGTCAACAGCAGTGGGAATGGAGGGCTCACTATTCTTACTACTGTTGGATAGGCTTGAACATTTCTCTGCTAAGAAGTGAAACAAGAGCCCAGCAGCAGGCCCTGTTCAGGGGGTCTTATCTTTGTTTGGATGGGAGTAGGAGTTGTAGGAGATGCGAGATCAAGGTTGCTGTCTATCAGGTAGCTGCTTCTGTCCCTGGTTCCTGGACAGAGTGGCTCTGAGTCCTTGCTCTCAGAATTCCCAGAGTGATAGGTGTCTCTGTTATCCATGAGTCCTCCACGCATCTGAATGTGTGGCAGCAGATGGGATGGCCCAGGACGGGGCTGCTCAGGAGGACAGGGTGTGGCTGAGGGTTGGGGCTCTGAGCCATCCTGAGCTCTGGGACGGAGGGCCCTGGGGATGGCCCCCCTGCACCCGGCCAGTCCCTCAGCCCGTCCATGTAGCCAGTCCTGCCAACAACATGAAACTGTGATCCGGTGGTGCACGGAGAGGCTCCAAGGGGTTCCTGGTTGGTGACCTCAGCTGGGCCAGGAGGGGGATCGCAGGCTCCATGGGTACAGGGCAAGAAGCTCTGTTTAAAGCCCTCCCAGACCTTGCCCTGTATGTCCCTTTCTTTGGCCGGCTCTGATTTGTATCCTTTATAATAAAATTACAATTTGAAAAGTGAGTGCTTTCTTGCAGTCTCTGATTTGTAGCGGACTGACTCTGAGGGCGTCATGGTAACTTGGATTTGTAGCCAAATCAGAAGGGTGGTGCCAGTGTGACTCGGGTGCTCAGTTACCTCTTCCTTGAAGGACAACAGCCGGCGCCAGAACAGAGATGGTTCTGACCTGCCCATGTTTGTCCACGCTCTCCCGGCCTCCTGTCCTGGCATGGCCTCTTCTAAGAGTTCAGGGTAGCCATTTGTGACTCCTTAGGAAAGTAAAGCTGAGGTAGTGCATGTCCCTCGTGGTCCAGGGAGTGATGCACTGGCCAGGACGTGGTGACCCCTACAGGTCATATGAGGTCCTGAAATGCCACCGCATCAGGAAAATGGATCCCCAGCCCTGATTGACCTTGGAGTGCTGGGCTGTGTTGTGTTGCGGCTCTACCCCAGTACCTGTACTTTTTCATTTGTCTTTGTTTTTTTTGAGGCAGGGCCCTGCTGTGTAGTTCAGGCTGGCCTTGACCTCATCATATAGCCAGGGCTGCCATCGTGTGATCCTCCTGCCTCAGCCTCCCAAGGGCTAGGATTACTGGCCTGTAGAACCATACCTAGCTCGATCCCAGTACCTAAAACACAGGAAGGCCAGCCAAGGGGCAAACGCCTATAATCCCAGCATTCTGGGAGGCTGAGGCAGGAGGATCACACCTCAGCCTGGACAGTTTACAAGTTTGAGCTCAGTGTGGGCAGCCTAGTGACTTCACAAGATTGTATCTCAAAATAAATAAATAAATAGGACTGTGGATGTAGCTAAGTTTGAAGGCCTTGGGTTCAATTCCAGGACTAAATAATAATATTTCATTTGAAGCTTTCCTTTTGAAACATCAGATTTTTAACTAGTATAGGTAAAACCTGTCTAGATATACTTTGCTTCTTCAAGTCCTTTTTGCAAAAGGCTGTTATGAATAAACAAAGACATGACATAGCTCCCTTTCTCTCTCTCTCTATCTTGTGTGTGTGGTATTGGGTCTTGTGCCGTAGTACATTCTACACCCCTAGCTCTTTTTGGTTTTAGAGACAGGATCGTGCTAAATTGCCCAGGCTAGCCTCAAACTTGCTAACCTGCCTCCACCTGCTGAGAATCTGGGATTACAGACATGGGCCACCACACCCACCTCCCTTCCTTCTTAAGAGACTGGGGCCTCCTGTCAAAAGGGAAGCTGACCCGCCCCTCAGTGGCAATTCCAGACGGCATCCTAACTTGGGCCTCACCTGTAACCACAGGCTCGTTAGCAGCATTCTAGTATCTGTCTAGCTCACTCTTGAGTCACGTGTTAGTTCTGTCTCCATTACAGAGTTCCATGAAGACCAGATGAACTTTTAGAGGCAAAAATGTGTCTAAAACAAGGGCCGGGGATTTAGCTCAGTGGTACAGTACCTGCCTGGCAAGTGCGAGGTCCTGAGTTCCCTCCCCGGTACCAAAAAAAAAAAGTATCTAAAACTGCTGGGTGTAGCGGTGCTCGCCTGTAATCCCAGCACTCTGGGAGGCTGAGGCAGGACGATTACAAATTCAAACCCAGCCTGGCTAATTTAACGACTTAGTGAGCCCCTTTCTCAAAATTTTAAAAAATGTCAAGCCGGTTGGAGATGTAGCTCAGTGCAAAGGCCCTGGGTTCCCTCCCCAGTACTACAATAAATAAATAAAATTAATTAATTAGAAAGAAAGAAAACAGGCATGAAATGACTCTAGCACAGCCACGTCTTGATGAAGAGTTCCAGACTGGATCATTCAAGAAAGGAGGAGCTGGGCGTGGTGGCACACGCCTGTGATCCCAGCACTTGGGAGGCTGAGGCAGGAGGATCACCATGAGTTTGAGGCCAGCCTGGAGTACATAGTTCAAAATCAGCCTGAACTATACACTGAGACTGTCTCAAAAAACCAAAAAAAAAAAGTATCTCAAACTGAAATACTTCTGGATGTAGAGGAACATGTCTGTAATCCCAGGTACTCAGGAAGCTGAAACAGGAGGATCATAACTTCAAGGCCAACCTAAGAAACTTAGTGAGACCGTGTCTCAAAATAAAGATTGAGGATGTAGCTCAGTGGTAGAGCACTTGTGTAGCTTTGGGTTCAAACACCAGGACCATAAATAAATAGGTAAGTAAGTAATAAAAGAAATAATGCTGGATGTGGTAGCCCAGGGCTATGATCCCAACACTCAAGCAGGAGGATCACTGTGAATTTGAGGCCAGCCTGGGCTACATAGTGAGACCCTGTCTCACTAAATAAATAAATAAGACATGAAAAGGGCTCCAGATATAGTTTAGTGGTAAAGCGCTTGCCTAGTGAAGGACCCTAGTTAGCAAGACAGACTCCATATTGCTGCTTGACCCCCCTGCCTGCCCTTTAGATGAACTCAGAAGGAGAAAGTTTAAAAACCTCCTCCCCTTAGAAAGTCTCTTTAGAAATAACAATCAGCTATTGTTTTACAAATGTTCTAACAGCAGGACGTTCCGCTTCTGTACCTTTTGCTTGCTTTACTAGTTCTATCCCATAGAGGGGCCTAGAAACTGCTGGCCTCAAAGGTGTATAAAATATGTTAATCTTCCCCCAGTCGGGGCTCGAGTCTGACTCTCAGCTCGGTCCCAGCCGGTGATAAACTGTGTGGATTTAATATCGGTCTCTGGTTGGTTCTCTCTCACTGGGTGTAACACCTAGCATGTGTAAGACTGTGTGCAATCCTTGTACCACACACACAAAAGAACATTATTCATGTGATTATTTTACCTATCTTTCTTTTTTCCTACCTCACACTGAATTTATGTTTTATGTAATGAACAAATTTCTGAAACCTCATGGGAGAAAGAACAGAAGGGATTCCGGGGCTGGCCGATCCCTAGACACCATCAAAGGAGGACACCTGCCTGACTGGCTCTCCTGAATCAGTTTGAAGTTCAAGGACAGCAACCCGGGCTCAGCCTGCGGATGGGAAAGTCTAGTCTTTGGTGCACAGAGCAACAGGAACGGGGGGAGGTGGGAGGAGGGATTGCAGGAGGCAGAGAGGAAAAGGGCCAAAGTTCAAACACACCCGGACAGGGACAGGGGGACTCCCTGGGGTCTTGAGCCCTCAGAGATAGGAACCTTGTGTGGGTTATGTCCAGAAAGAGAACAGTCGCAATTCCAATGTGCCTCCATGGCCCTGTGGAAATTCCAAGCAAATCTCCCTCAAAGTGGACATGTGGGTGTGGTAGGCAGAGAAGGCAGGAAAATAATCACACGCTGAACTACCTCCTTGGGCTCCCTCTTTTTCCTTCCCTCCTTCCCTTCCTTCCTTCCTTCCTTCCTTCTTTCTTTTTTTCTTTCTTTCTTGATGCAGGGCCTTGGTATGTAGTTCAGGCTGGCCTTGAACACACTGTATAGCCCAGGCTGGCCTTGAATTTGCCCGGATCCTCCTGCCTCAGCTTCCGGAAGATTGAGATCACAGGCATGCACTGCCATACCTCTCCAGAAACTATAGTCCTGAGGCATGATCAAAGTTATCTGAGGTTGTGATGAATACAGTACCAACTCCCTACCACGAATGTAATCATTATATACTGCAAACATGTACTTAGAAAAATTTTAAAAATAAGGAAAAAAGTTACCCCAGGTTATCCATATCTGTGAACCCATATCTTTTTCCCCAGGTTTGTGACCAGGCTTTCTGGGAACTCCAAACTCAGTTTGTTGCCTTCTCCTAGTTTTTTACCTGGCCAGAAAACTAACAAAGCCAGATTGGCAGGCACCCTAATTTCCTCAGGACTGAGAACGAGATAAGGCGGAGGTATAACAGGGACCTAGAGATTGGACCTGCAGATGCCCAATTGGTGGCTAAAAGCAGGGTGAATCTTGGCATCTCTGGCTTCAAGCTTTTCATCTCCTTTATTACCTTAAAACTTTGAGGGCTGGGGATGTAGCTCAGTAGTGCCACACCGGCCTGGCCAGAGCAAGGTCCTGAGTTCAATCCCCGAAACAGAACAAAACTTTGAGTCAGCCAGGTGTGGTGGCACATGCCTGTGATCCTAGCACTTGGGAGGCTGAGGGAGGAGGATTGCACAAGTTCGAGGCCAGCCTGGGCTACATAGTTCAAGGCCAGCCCGAACTACATAGCAAGGCCCTGTCTCAAAAATAAGTAAATAAATAATAAAAAATACTGAGGATGTAGCTTGGTTTGAAGCCCTGGGTTCAATCCCAAATACCACAAAACAAAAAATGACTGTGGGTTGGATCGCAGCTCAGTTCCGTGAGCAGGCATGTTAAGGAGGCTCTGCAGTACTGGGCTTTATTAGCCCTAGATTTGCTCCATCTTTCTCATCCCCTTCCTGACCAAGATAAGAGTAACTAAGGTAGTTTCCAGGGTCTGCAGGGACATCTAATTGTCAGCTTTCACAGCGTGTCATTGTCCTAAACCCTCTTGGATTCTAGGAAAAGCAGAGCCTCAAAGGCCAGGCCAACAGGAAGTTGCTCCCATGGTGGATGTAACCATCCGCCAGGTCCAGCCACAGTGGGAACCAGGGCTGCACCCCAAGCAAGAATTGTTATCTTCTGGAAACCGAATTGCTCCTCAGACCATAAGGGTTCTCTGGGGCTCCGCAACCAGAACTGAGAGCCATCAAGCCAAGGCCACCCAACCCGGCAGACTCACAAAGGCTCAGCTCCTCCTTTTTTTTTTTTTTTTTGAGACAGGGTCTTGGCCAAGGCTGGTCTCAAACTCACAGCAGTCCTCCTGCCTCAGCCTCCTAAGTTCTGGTATTCTAGGCATGCTCCACCACACCCGGCTGGTCCTTTCTTCTTTCTTGAGTGGTCCAGTCTGGAACTCTTCATCAGAGTATGGAAGTCATTTCATGCCTGCTTGCTCCCTCTCCCTTTCTCTTTCTCTTTCCCTTTCCTTTCCTTCTTTGTAATTAATTAATGAATTTTATTTCTTTATTTCAGAGCTGGGGCGTAAACCCAGAGCTTTTGCACTGAGCTATGTCTCCAATCA